CAACCTGTGGAACTCCTTGCCAGAGGATGTTATGAAGGCGAAGACTATAACAGGGTTCAAAAAAGAACTAGATAAATTCATGGAGGATAGGTCCATCAATTGGGTAGGGATGGTGTCCCTAGCCTCTATTTGCCAGAAGCTGGGAATGGGCGACGGGATGGATCACTTGATGATTACCTGTTCTGTTCATTCCCTCTGGGGCACCCGGCATCAGCCACTGTTGGAAGACAGGATACTGGGCTAGATGAACCTTTGGTCTGACCCCATATGGCTATTATGTTCATTAGCCCCATTTTACAGATGCAGAACAGAGGCAGACAGAGATTGACACGTGCACATGTGTTTGGCTAACCTGTTCGTAAAAACCTCCAATGCCAGGGATTCCACAACCTCCCCAGGTAATCTGTTCCGGTGTTCAACTATCCTTAGAGCTAGAATTCTTTTTCCTAATATATAATCTAAAGCTCCCTTGCTGCAAACTAAGCTAATTATTTCTTATCCTGCCCTCAGTGGACACGGAGAACAATTGATCACTGTCCTCTTTAGAACAACCTTTTACATATTTGAAGACTTGCAGCCCCCTGAGCCTTCGCTTCAGTAGACTAAAGGTGCTCAATATTTTTCAGCCTTTCCTCCTAGATCATGTTTTAATTCATTCAGTCAGGGATCCACTCTAACCCCCAGATCCTTGTCTGTAGCACTGCTGCCTAACCAGTTATTCCCCAATTTGTATTTGTACATTTGATTTTTTTCCCATCTTTATTGAGTTTCATCTTGTTGATTTCAGACCAATTCTTCAATTTACTAAGAGCAGGTTCCCCATTTAAACATCTTGGACCAAATTCAGCCCTGGTGTAACTCCACGGACTGCATTGACCTCCATCTAGGGCAGGGAGTCCCAAACCTTTTGCCAGCACCAGCCAATTTTAATGAGGTATTTCCTGCTGGGACTCCAGATAGCACAGAGTATGCCATTTAGAAGAGCTAAATGGAACCCTCTGCACTGTGTAACCTCATACACATGGGGCATGCGAGGTCATACGGTGCAGAGGACCCCCATGTTGTAGAGCAAAATGTCATCGTCCCTGCATTGTGACCTCACACACACAGTACATGCAAGGTCTTGGTGTGTGGAGCAAAATGGTGTCCTCCACACACTAGGGATTGCCATGACCCCATGTGCTGGTGGTGCAACCCCATTTGGGATTGTTACCCACAGTTTGGGAACCATTGATCAATGGCATATGGGCGCTTTCAGCCAAAGAATCCGGTCTTAGAAATTCACTGTCCTTGAGGGTCCACCAGAGCCCATTTCCTCCAGCCTTCAAGACAGGATGCAAGACATTTGTTTCAGTAGCTCTACGTTCTAGTTTTGTTGCCTCCTTAATTTTCTGTTTGAAAACCTGTTTTGAATCTGCCATGGTGGGTAACCATTGCTACACAAATTGAAACAACAACAGGAAGTTAACACATGCAGTCTACAGGACCCATTCCCTGTACCAATGCAAGCCCCATAGACTCATTGCACTTTAGAAATAGCAGGTCTGTTCCTCAGAGTGTATGACAACACGAGAAGCCAATTCAACAGGATGGAGACTGGGAGCAGATTGCACAGAAGGCAGAGACTTCGATCATCTCCTCCGTCTTCTCACCCATGCGGGATTGTTCCCTACCTTGCACAGCCATTGATAAGAAGCTGAGTTTCTTTGTGCACAGCCCACGCTGCTTTCATTGCCAGGTGATTTATTTTAGATAGTTAGATTCATTATCTTGTCTGCAGATACTTTTCTGAATGTTCAGGTCTCCTTCCAAACAAAGCTCTGTAAGTAAACATTTGTGCAGGCCCGTTCCTTGCTCCTGACACCCTGACTTTCCCTTGGCCTGAGAATGCCGGCCCTAATCTATCATCTTGCTCGGGACAGTGCCTGTTTCTGAGCCAGCCAATAGTCCCAGTCCAGTGAGACCCATTAAACAAGATAGACCTCCACATCTGGAGCTGTTTACCGGTCACACAAAGGAGTAATTATAAAGAAAAGTGGAGGGGTGGAGCATGCGGACAGGCTGCTGTTAATCTGCGTGTGTGGAGGCACATCAGCTCAGATAAAAAAAAATAATTAAGGTGAGCCCCTGCCCGGCAGGCATAACAACTTTTCCTGTCTGGAAATTTTATGAAAGAGGCACAGCCATCTTCTCCCACTCCACCTTGCAACATACCAACCTGTCCTCCTGCTACTTCATCTGGAGAGCGATGAGAGATCTTGGGGCCTTCGCTCAGAGTAGCTGTACCTAGAGACTCTCACATTCCTTCTCTATCACTCCCAAAGGGAGCTTTCTTTGATAAGCTTCTTAGGGCAGATAGGTGGGCAGTGAACCAGTTACATTATGATCTTTACCTAGTGCTGGAATCTAGCTCCGAGTTCACCTTTTCCTGTCAGTTTGACCTCCCGGCCTTCACTTGGAATCAGACTCAAGTGGTGAATCGGTAGCCTTCCTGAATATTTTTTATTCCATGTCCTAAACAGTTGGATGACTGATGGGAGCTGTTCTACAACGACCATGTTCTCCTCTTCTCCAAAAGTAGCTGCAGAGCCCCTTTATCTCCCTTACCCAAGTCATGGGACTGTTAAGAGACTTAGTAGCACAGAAGTGGCTGGACAGAGTAGAACGATAGTCAAAGGTTAGAACAGTTCTGCTCCCAGGTGGGCCTCTCTCATGCTAGGAAAGTACTTAATTTCTGTGCATGTTTCTCTATCTGGAAAATGGGAGTGCCACCCCATCTTGGTAAGGTGCTCCTAGATAGTCTGCTGAAAGGCACTAGTACCAGTACAAAATTTGAAGGCTAGTTGTCTCTAGGCATATGTTTCCTTTCCATTTCATCCTAGTGGGACTCCCCCTCATCTGCCAATACATCTGATGCTAAAGTTGCAGGCTAAAATGTTTCAGTCATTTTTCCCCCCAATTCCTCCTCTCAGATTATTAATGCTGAAACAATGCGGCAAACCTCAGCAATAACGCTTGGCATTCTGTAATAGACTCAGACAGCACATTCCTTCCTCAGCCTACTCCTCTCTTATCTCCTTTCCTCTCCCCGAAAAGCACATTTAGATAAGTTATTGGAATGATAAAACAAAACCATAACTTAAGCATTTGTGAGTGAAATGTAGAGGAGGCTCCTCACGGGTTGCACCTTAGGTCAAACCTGCCAAAACAGCAAAGGAAAAGATACGCTCTAGTTCAAGCAAGTTATTTTGGGGAAGTTCCATGGCCTGTGTTACGCAGGAGGTCAGGCTAAATTAACACATGTCCCTTTTGTCCTTATCAGAGGGGTAGCCGTGTTAGGCTGGATCTGTTAGTCTTAAATATGCCACAGGACTCTCTGTTCCTTTTGTCCTTAATCTATGAAAAAGGTCACAAACCATGAGCCACTTTCAGGAGACTTGCCTGTGTCACTCCCTAGTGCTGTTCCACCAGATGCAAGATGCTCAACGTTCTATGAGCTTGTTTACAAACAAATTTACATCGGTTTAGTTAAACTGGTGAAATAGCAGTTTTAAAACAAGTTTAGCTTGCCCCGGAACATTTAAACTCAAGTAAGCCAGATACAGTTCTGCTCCCAGCTGGGCCTCTCTCGTGCTAGGCAAGTCACTTAATTTCTGTGCATTTAAATTCAATGATTTAAGCATGTGCAAACATGCAGCTATATCATTTCAGTAGTTTAAAATCACACCTTTAATGAAACAGGCACAACTCTGATTGTGGACCAGGCCTCAGACATCTGCTTTAGCAAACTTCATAGCCGTTGATCATTACTGGAGAAACAATGGCTGAAGCTGTAGTATAGACAGGATGCAAGAATCTTTACCACCCTGGTTACAGCTTGTATGTTGTTCTACTGAAGACAGATAGAGGCTGCCACCACTCCAGCTGTTACCATGTATGAGGAGGACTTGGTACAGTACTCCAAAAATACCCTTCCGTCCGGCTTAGACAGTTGATGGCACATACACCGTCAACAACCGACACAGGCTCCTCATGAAACCAGACATCAGGATTCTATCTGATGTGGCAAAGAAGAGGTTATGGACCCAGAGGTGCTGATACAGGTTAATCCTCATCCAGTTGGGAGGTCACAGAAAAAGGTTTGATTAGTCGTGATTCAGACAGTTGATTATGTTTAACGCTTTCACCATTTCATTGTATTTCCTGGTTTTATTTATTAACTTCTAGATTCCCTTCTCTCAGGTTAAATGAGTCTCTGAAATAAGGATGCTGTAATTTCACTCAACTACACAAACTGACTCCTAATACCCCCTGGGTCACATTTTGCTGCAGTCAGATTGGTCAGCTCCTTCCTGTACTGGTAACAAGTACATAGGTCTGAAAGTACACATTATTTAGCTTGGCCAGGGCATGGGGACCAGGTGGCTGCAATGCATTACTTAATCTACCTACCCACCTTGAGAATTTGGGCTCAAATTTAGAGTAGGCAAAGTTCATATGCAAGTTACAGTCTCAGCTTGGTGCTAGACAGACAAGGGGGAGGATTTTCAGGACTGGGCATGTGAAGTCACCATTGTTCTAGTGCATACACCAGTTAGCAGTTACAAGTTTAACTGGTCATTTTGTGCACAAAGTTACTGTGATTAGGTGCATTTTTGCATCGGTAATTCTGAAAATCCAGGCTTGTGCTATAAAAGTCTAAAAGTCTGGGAGTCAGGACCTGTCTCCATTAAATACATGACTGAGCCCCTAACTGCAAACAGTAGGGGTGTTCCAAGTCAAAACTGAAGTGGGTTAGCAGAGCTGTGTCCGAAAGCTTAGAACATTCCTACCCGCAACATGCTTGGCTGTAGCCTGTACCAATACGGTCCTAAACATACCCATATAGCTTCTGTTTAACTTTAAACACAAAAGTGGGCCTCTTAGCAACATGTTTCTTTCCCCCCCCCCTCTCGTTGTTGTTGAAGACAATAAAAAGGCAGGAGGCAATGAACTGGACCTGTTTTAAAATCAGTTTCACTCTTTATTTGAAATCTTTTACATGCCACAAATGTACATGAAAAATTGCACATTGAGAATGTGGTTCACTATTATGAACAAAGAGCGAGCTGTAAATACAAGTGTAAAACAAGTGCACAGATGGAGCTGTTAAAACTGAGGAGTTTGTCAGTCATTTGCAAACAGGCTGCTTGGGTTCCTGGTGTCATTTAGCACATCACAGGCTAAATCTTGATTTTGGAAGCCACCTCCTCTAGCTTTCATGTTTCGGTGTAACATACGTCTTCATTCTCATTGTAACACAATTCTCTTACAGCAAGCTGAAACAACGGTTTCAGTAACAGTTATACCAAAAAAGTGGGTGTTACTTAGAGACCAATTGCTCCTTAAATGTCTTTTTTTTTTTTAAATTCAACATTTTGACAACAAAGTTTCACCCTCTGTTTATATAGGAGTGAATATAGGAGATTCTCAACAGAATAGGGACTTTACACGGACATTTTTCAAAGAAAATTCTGACAAAAAAACATTTCCCTAGCAGCCTTGGGCAGAGTTGCAGCTTCCACTTCAAAGGAGAAACTTCAAAAACAAATTCGATGTCCTAATGGTTTTGTGCTACATTACTTAATTGTCATCCAGCTAATTAGCAATGCCTGATTTCACATTCTCAGTACGTAGAAGTTGTTCACATAAGAGGGGCTACTTACAACAAAATAAATAAATAAAACAAGGCACCAGGCATCCAGACTCCTGTGACAGTAACATAAAATGCTACACTTGAGCATTTACAAAGCTAAAATAAAAAACATTTAGTAATTAAACCTAAATTGATCGGCCTTCTTTCAGATCTAGGAGTTTTGAATTTCCATGGGGGGTGGGGGGAGGGAGGGATGTATGTATATAGATATATAGTGTAGTATGATGTAGATCTTTTACAATTCTAATTATTTCCCTATCACCAAGTAAGATCAGGATCAATAGATGGTACAAACTGACCCCTTTCCCCAAGCATCAGGAGGAAATAAAAGAGCGAGGGAGAAGGAGAAGTGAGAATGTCAGAGGTCAATGCCACTGAAAACAATAGATATCGATGTCTCCATTCATTTCAAAACAGCAGAAAGGTCAATGTCTCCCTTGCTTCATGTTTTATGGCTGAGATCCTGCTGCTAACAGCAACCATGTTAATAGCCAGGCATCATCCATCCTTTTATCATTACTTCTAACCAGGTTAGCCATTTTGAAAATTCAAAGGAAGCTGGAAAGCAGCCGCCGAGGGAGGGAGAAGAGGGGAGCTGGCCTGGAAATTAATGGAAGAGATGTTTTTCATTAGTGTTAGAGACTGCATCTCCCCCTACCTGGGCTCTGCTTCCTTCTGGTTTGTCCCTCGCTGCCCCCGAAAAAATGAAAAGGGCCTGAGGCAACGTCCCTTCGCTATTAATCATTATTCCCTCTACAACATCCCAATCGGTTTCTATGGAAATGATTCTCCTGCTAGAGAGCCTTGGCTGCCTATGCATCTAATCGAACAGGGAGGCAGCCTACGGACCCTGCAATGGAGAGAGAGATTTTCTTCGGCAATAGCCAAGTCATGTTCACGTTGCTCCTTTTCCAGACTTATTCTCCTCCTGGTAGGAGTGTGAAAGGCTTTGGCTGGACACAGCATCAGCCAGGATCAGCACTGGATTTAGTCTCCCATGAGCAGATCAAATAAGCTACCGCACCACCTGGAGTATTAACATATTGCTAAATTACGTATCGGGATTTTGTTTCTGAAGTTACGAGACCCCCACTGCAAAAGGTGAAAGGCTGGACCTACAAGGTGCTGAGCACCCGCAATTCTCACTGGGATAAACAAGAGTTGAGGGCTCTTGGCAAGCCCTATAGTAGCACTCATCTGCAAGACTTTCATCCCTTCCTCTCAATACGAGGAGAGCAATGGAGAAGTCCTTTAGCCCACAGTCACCGGCAGTCATGGGGCAGCCCGTTGCCAGCAGCAGGGTAAGTCCCAGTAACAGTCAGCTAAGGAAGGTGACCGCCGCCTATGGGAGTGTTAGTAGTATATGGTTCATGTGGCCTTTCACAGGGAATAGAAATGCTCAACAGCAGTTTCCATTGTTGGGAAGCTCCCCAGTGCCCTGTTTATTCTGTGTTTTTAACTCTGTCACCTGAGACAATCAGGATATTGATATTGGGATTGCAGCTGGCAGCACCTGGACTCTACTCCACCTTGGGCCACGTTAGGAAACTCAAGACAGCTGCTCTAATTCATCCCATTTTCCCCTCCTCCTAAATTAGCACTGTCCTCGGTTGTTTGTCCTCCAAGACGGACAACACTTTAGAGCTTTACAATAGCCTAATGTGACCTGGGAGCCAGATGGGGGACTTGAGGCACAGAGAGGTTGAACAACTTGCCCAAGATCACACAATGAGCAAGTGGCAGAGAGGAGACTGAAAACCAGCTCCCAGTTTGATGCTCCAGCCAACAGATCAAGCTGTCTCAATTCTCTTTAAACTCTTTTCTTACCGCTGAAGTGCCACACCGCAGGGTGACAGGTTAGCATCACTCCCAGCACTCGGGAAACCTGATGACGTGATATATTGTTGCTGTACCATGAGTGGGTGGGAGGGTTTTAAACAAGGTGCCAAAAGAGAACCCAAACAGAGCTTTGCCAAAAGGCAGAGGAAGAAACTAACAGGATTACATTCCCTTTAAGGTGCCTTTTTTCGACTCATTTGATCCAGTCAGCTTCTCCTTATCAAAAGCTAAAACCACTTTAAAAAAAGCCTAGAACCCACCAAGCAGCAGGAATGGAAAGCCATTTTGTTACACATGTTTTGGCATCAATGATCTTGTGACTGTAACTTTTAATTTAACTTTAGCATCCGATCCAGTTAGCGTCAAAATGCATCCATCCAAACACTTGCAAAGAACGGGAGTTTGTGGCCTACCCAATGGTTTGCTAGCAATGAAGCCCACTGCCAGAGGAACGGTCAGAGTTCTGATCTAATAACTGGTGCTCCTTCACTGTCCGGCAGGGACCGGGAGCACCGCAGAAGCAGCCCCTGTGGGAAGGGCACCTGATGCGGTTCAGGGTGCTCAAGAGAACGGGGTGAGTCAGACAATCGTCTCATCCACAGATGGCAGGGAGGGATTTTTGGAGTGGAGGGGATGGAGAGTAAACAAAAAAGGGCATTTTGTGTCAAAGAAAAACTAGGAACAAGAACAACGACAAAAAGTCCTCCCCAAAAACTGCACATGGAACCTTAATGCTGACTATGCTTTGAATCCCATATACTTCTCTGCTCAGAACATATGGTGCTATGTTTAATAGCCCAGCACTGCCAATTGGGGACTATTAGGGTGGGTTCTTTTCCCAGTATAAACGTTGCAGAATATAAATTGTAATTAACACCGATGCCAAAATAGCACTTAGAGAAAATAAGCACATTATTAACATCTGGTGACTCCTGCCTGGAGTGCAGAAGCAGCGGAAATTCTCACTCACAGTCAGGAGGCTCTGTAGCAGGGATGCAGAGCACGGTCCCACCGTTTGGGGGTGAGGATTCTTTTCGGTCCCTTTAGCATAACCTGAGGTGCGACTGGCTGGCCTTTCCTAGCCCTTATTCTGAACGTTGCGGTTCATATTGAGATCACAGACCTGCTCACGTGAATACAGATGTCTAAGCATCATGCCACGGGCAATACAATAATGGTCGTATACATACTTGATAAAGGGATCCACTCCCATTTTACCTAGAGGTAGGAAAGAATCTCTTTACAAAGGAACTGACCTTCATGAAGCATATTTTATCACACCAACAGTTTTTAAAAGAAAGGACTAGGAAAAGCATGGACCTATTAGAACATACCTTTTTGAACAATAGAGCCAGATTTGAATCGATTTTTTCTGCCTATTCAGCAGATATCACAGAAATCAGATCCTTCCAGCAGGAAGAAAATGGGAGCTGGAAGTTTCCTCGTAACTAGAATCCATTGAGCCATCTCTTAACGATGCCCCATTACTTGTTAGAAAGAGAAATCCCTGCTCAAGTGCAAAAGGGTTCTTACCTATAGCATTCAGGCACCACACTATGCACTACTTGAGGCCACTGTTTATTGGCTAGGATAGTTCCCATAATTGACTGAATATCAGAGATCTGTCTCCAGACCTGTACCCACTCACCTTTCCCTCTGCTCCACACTGAAGTTGCTAGGGGTTCAGGAGGAAAAGAAATGCAGCTTTAGTGATGCTTCAATATCTCCTCATTACTTAACCCCCAATAATCTGTGTTGGAGAAGGGATCTACTCAGCAACTGCACAGAGCGGTCTCACCTGGACAAAGCAGTAATTTATTTTCCTGCCCCCCCAAAAAGTACATCTGCTTTGTGAGGGAGAAAGGAGCCCAGCCTGACAAAGAAGGGGGCTCAACCAAGCCACAGATACAAGAAGAGGTTAGAAGAGAGAGACAGGATTCTGGAGACAACTAGATAGAAAACAGTGGTAGAACCCTAGCGAAGGGGTAACAGCTACCTACCTACCCATGCTTAACAGAATCCCCCCCCCCCACACACACACGTCAGGGATATTTTGGAAACCTAGTTTAGTTCTGGAGCACCTCATCCAGTGGCCCAGCGATGAGGGGCTCTGGCTAAAGCTGCGGAAATGCTACAGGGCACCTGCTTCACGCAAAAGCATAAAACCCATCTGCTTATTTATTTAATAGCTACAAGACTAGCAGCTCGCACTCCCACACCCTTGCTAGCCAATCTGTCCTGTGGGAAGGGAAAGGGAAAGAGAGCTTCGATCTGGAAGTCCCACTCAGTAAAGGGGCTGCTGAAAAGAGAGTGTACAGAAAGAGAAGGCAAAAATTAACTACTTGATGCTCTTAAAGGTAAGGGTGAGCTCTAAAGCAAAGAGAAGTACAAATGTGCTCCGATGGGTTAATTGGGTAATATGCAGCCTCACTCTTAATAAATGGCGAATGCTGAGAAAGTATCAATGAGCACACGTATAGTTAGGTCCTCTTTGTACACATATGGGTTGCATCAGGCTGGCCCATGATTTAACGTGTAGGACAGGATAAACAAGTCTGGAAATTTTTAAGCAGTGGGAACAAGACTAGAGAAAAGTGTCTGAAGCCTGCGTAAAGATCTATTCTGCTATCCAATCCACCCTTTGAAACCATGATGTTTTTGACACCGTTCCCAGTAGCCACTGCTTATGAAACTATGGCACCGCTCTGTAGGAAACACTGACTAGCCGATTCTGTGACGTCACCCATGGACGTGCTGAGTTCCCAAGCAGTGATGTCATAGCACAGCTGTTTGCCATACCACTGGATTGAAAGTGTTCAAACTCAAATGGATAACCTCTAAGGAAAAGATTAGCCCCATATTTTACCATGGAATATTCCACTTCAAGGGAAATCCTACCACCACCTAGAACATTTGTACTAAATACGCGCACTTTGGCATTTGGCACAGCGATTTGACCCTTTAGAAAGTGCTACATCAATAAGGCACTCTGAAAAGTGATCCAGCCCACTACAAATTCCTAAGGACACTCAGTAGAGCAGGCAAGGCTAATGAAGTTACACTTTGAAAATACTCCATACAATCTCTGAAATCATGCTCAGGCACATGATTTGGGGATAGAGCTGGTCCATTAGGCTCCCACCTACACTGCCATTGGACCAGTGTTCTAACATGTTGATTTATTTATTATTTTTAGGGTAGATGGGACTCAGGTTGGCGATTTGGTAACATGGAGTTTGTGAAATCTAAAGAGGAAACTCGAGACACAAATGAGGAATTCTTCCCCACAAGCCAAACGGCCCAAACATTAACAGCAAGGCGAATGTAGCAATGGGCTTGAAAGGTTAACAATCATGATTTGCTACGTGGGGGCAAAAAAACAAAAAAACCTGAGGTACTTCTCTCAAAAGAGAATACCCTTAAATATTTCTCATCACACGTGCGTAACTATGTACACACATTTATAATAAGAGGTATGATACATTTCATTCGAGCAATGAACCTTTGTGCCCATTGTAACAGAGGGACATTAACTCACCCAGAATCAGGCCTCCTACTTTGCCATTAACAACAGACTCAAGCAAAGAATGATCACTGAGGAAACAACAGCGCATACCACCAAAGTACACAGGAACCCTACAGAAATAGATCAGGCAACAAGGGGTGAAGGGTAAGAATGGGAGCATTCTTTAAGTTAGTTTCTCTTACCTTTAACTAATAGAACGTAAAAGAGGAATTCATTATTAACCACAAGGAAATCTCCATATGGTTCCAAAAGGCTTTGATATTGTATTTTTATGTGCAAGGTCGGTGTTTGTCGAGGCTCTTCTGCTTTTCAATTGCACTGATTTAAAGTGATCGTACAGCATCCCATAAGGCGGCCAGAAGCTCAAGAAGGGGGATTCCAGGCCAATAAGAAGCTGTTTCACACGTTCATCCCAACTGTTCTACATGTGCTATGGCACAATCACCACCACAGGTTTGGAGGTTCCTCAGCCACTCTGCTTTTAAACAAGGTAATTTCATCCAAGTGCATCATGGGGACATCTCTGATGACCTCCGTCAAGTCCTCATGTAGTAGAGGGAAAATGACGACATTTAATGCAGGGCGGTCTGCCTGGAAACTAAATCAGATACAAGTTATTAGCCAAGGAGCAATGCTAGTTCTGCGACAAGGGAAAAAACTTGCATGGGTAGAGTAGGAGGCAGCAGAAGGGGAAGGAGAGTCTTGCTGAGACAGGAAATCAAGTTCTCCCACCTGTGTGGGACTTTATTACCTTGCAGTGGGTCCATGTGGCTAATTTAGGAGGAGTCTGAAAGGAGTCCTGATCCAATCCCAAAATGGAGATTGGGAAGCACAACATGGAGATCTTACAAGAGGAGGAAGGGATCCTTAGAACTTTGCATGAGACTTTCCTTAGCTGGGTAAGATGCTGGTGGGTAGCAATTTAAACTCTCACTAACAACAGCAGGTTTTACAGCTTACAAAATTAGGACTAAATTGTCTGGGATTTGCCCTAGGATTGGGCCTGGGATTATCACTGAAGGGTCAATTGTACAGCCTAGGGAGGATAAACGCTGCAGTTAGAGAAAAATGAAAGCTCTACCACTGCAGATACTAAATGTTTATGAGTGTTAGAATAATACACTGGCAACAGTGTAATTTTTAATAAAAGCCACCTAACAGCCTGTGACAGGTGCACACAGTTCCAGGTTTGAGTAAACCCAAAAGCAAACAGCCACATTTGTCACTAGAATTTTGGCTTACTACATTTTTTTTTTAAATCTATTAGCCCTTTACCTCCACTCCCTTCTACACCAAGCTTTTTAGCCCCAGCCCCTTCTGCTAATTTTTTTGCCACTTCGTTCAGCAGACATTGAGCATCACAGACCTTTCGACAGAGAGCAGACTGATGTGACAACAGGAGAGACAGGAGCAGCAGGGTTGTAATTACGGAGCAGGAGAAGAAAACAGCAGAAGTTAAATCCATATGCAATATTTTTGAAATGAAAGCCGGCACAGATAGCAAGTACGGTGCATGACAGCAAATCAGAGAAGTCACAGAAGAACACATTTGGGGGGGGGGGGAGGGAGGAGGGGTGGACGGACTACAGGGTAAGAGAAGACCATCAGAATGAGGACAGGTAAGTATTGATTGGCTGACTGGGCAGAGCCATGTCTACATTACTGTTATTAGAATAGTTATGCAACTATATTTAAACACATGGGTTGTTGCTAGCAGGGTTATAGCAATCTCCCTGAGCAGTGTGTCCAGAGTTTATTCCTTAACTGTTCTAGGGTAGACTGGATCCATGTTAGAACATAAACCCACTAAGGCAGAGCCTAGTTTGACATTCACCCTGTGAATCATGTGTCTGAACTGTAGTAGTGTCCACTATAGCCCAAGATTCTTGTCTACCCATGTGTCTGTACAATTCTGAGCACACCCATCACACTAAAATAATTATCCATATTGTGGTGTTACAGGGCTGTAGAGTGACCGTAAGTTCAGGTGCTAGAATCCCATACGAAACTTCAGAGTAATTATTGCTGATTAAAGATTAATGCTGGCAGACAGATCATACTGCAGTTCGATCCACGAGAGGCTCGCATTTCTCTCTGGGTGATGGATCGAAGAAGCACCTCCCACAAACATATTTGTGCTTCCTTCCATGCCAACCCTTATGCACAGAAACTTCTCCCGAAACAGATCCATAAACCTGTCACTCTTGCCGCCAATTCCCATCTCAAGACCTATTTCTGCAGCAATGCTTGTAAGAAATTAGCCAACAAATAATGGCTAGGCCAAAGGCAATTGGATAAAGTTGGTATTTATGTGATTTCAACACTAGGATGTAGCAAACATATTGGATGTTCTCTCCCCTGCCCCCAGCTCTTCATACGTTACTCATTTAAGGGCCACAATCCTGCTGAAGAAGGAACCATATTAATAATCCCCACCCCAAGTTCACTGGGGTCCACCCACCCACGCAGATCTCTTTTTAGGACTGGTGCCTTAGATTGTAAGCTCCTCATGGCAAAGAAAACTCTCTCCTATTTCTGTGTTTGTACGGCATTCCAGCATAGCAAAGCCCCAATCTTAATTGAGGTCTCTGGATGCTACCGTAACACCACACAAACGACAAACAGAATTTATACATAATTTAAAAAGTGGGACTCTAACCAAGTTTAGACATAATTTGCCTCAGAGTACTGGAAAAATACACATTAAATATGCCTTCCAAGAAGCTGGAATTATGTAAATATTTTTGAAGAGCTTTGAACATGATCTGCAGAAAAAAAGGGGCAACCAAAATATGCCTTTGAATTTTGTGAGTTGTATTTTTTTAAAACTGGAAACTGTATGTTGCTCTGAAACTTGTAAATTGCATACCACAGCAAGTTTATGCCTGCAAATTCTTTCCATGTTCGATTTGCGCAACTGAAAATGAAAATGAAACGCACATGGTTTACCATTATTCTCAGCTGTGTGTGCGTGCAAAGCCGGTGCTTTAGCTGCACATTTCAAAACAACTTTTAACGAGCTGCTGTCATAATGCTAAAATGGGATTAGCATTTCCCCAAAGCAGACACCTCTGCAGAAGCTGTGTGCATGTTCCTTCCGTCCTCTGCCGCAAGGCAATTCCATTCTTCATACACCTGGCCAGGTGGGCTAGATTAAGTGAACAGCACTTAGTACTAGCACTAAAAGACCCCAGGCATGGGGTGGAGATGGGGAGAAGGGGAAGACATTGAGTTAACGAGTTGCAGCATAGCTGCTGTAATCTTCTTGAAGATTCTTCCCTCATTCCACACCTGGATGGATTTCAAACTGGATCTATCTCTGAAAGTCTATGGTGTGTTTAGTGAAAACCTGTCGGATGGAGGGGGATGTGGAGCTGGGGAGACAAAAGAGTTGCAGCTCCAGACTTGAATCCCTGTTCTATTCCAAGGAAAACAAGCCAAAAATTGTGACTGTTGCTTGCTTTCTCCTACAAATCAATCTCCAAACTAGACTCCTCGTGATTAATTACATGGAAGTAAGTTTTCTAAGCAATTGACTAGCTGGCTCTTCAGTATTTATCCTTTAAGGGGGGGGGGGGCAATCTCTGGGATAACAAAGAAAAGGACAAGCTTTCCATAGCAGCCTCTGATCCAGTATACTTAGCCTCAAACCAACAAGACCCCAGTGGCTCTTTATGCAAAAGCAGATTTCTGAAGAGTATGTATTTGGATGTGAACATCTGCAATTGGCTATAGTCATCCTTGGAGCTCGAAAATGGACACATCGATTGTGATGCAGGGCACACCTAAAATTCATTCTGGCATTAGCAAAAGCAAGATCTTGCCTTCCTATCCCGTCCTTTAATTACACCTAATGTATTGCACAAGGCTGTTAGCCAAAAAGGGTTAATGGAGCTTTGTTGCCTGCCCCAAAATTATGGAGGCCTGGGCACAGTACGAGTATTTTCAAAGGAACAGTCTGGTAAATAACCTACACTACAATCTCAATTATTTCCAACTGGCACGGCAGGATCCAATATGTAGGTCATGGACAAAGTCAAAAAGGAAGGAAAAGTTGAAAGCAAATCTGTAGTTCAATCAGATTTCCTTGATTTTTTCCAGGACAAAAGAGTCACTAGACTGAATTCATTATCTCATGGCAAATACCCATATATGTGCTGTCAGATGTACTTTTAAAGTGGAAACAGAATGAGCCCCTTAAACTCCACCTACTAAAGTTGCATAGAAAAGGCAGCCGAGAACAAGCAAAATTTAGCAAAGATTATGCAACACTAGGGCACAGATTATTAATACCTCAATTTAGTTATTTGCATTACAGTAGCTCCCAGAGACTGTCATTAGGAAAAAGGCCCCAATGCGGTAGGCACTATACCAACTTATTTTCTCTTGGTTATAAGGAGGGGCTTTGAAGGGACTTGGTGACATCTTGCATTGAAACAAATCTCCCATTCTCCCTGCTCCCCCCGAGACCTCCAGAGGAATATAACAAAGGTTCTGTATGTTACACATCATCTGAATTTGGCACATCACTTCACACATGCCAGTAAGTAGGTGTAAGGGCAGCTAAGCTGGTATAACTTACACAATGAGGGGACGGAGGAGAGGTGTGTAGCAGGAAAAGCAACTAAAGGAGGACGACTCTAGCTCTTGATCCATGAATCCACAAATTCAGGACCTGGGCTAGGAGGACAAAGACACCAAATTTAGATCCACGGGGGGAGAGGGGAGAAGAGGATACCATCTAGGAGTTTTGGGACCCTACATGGAGAATAGGGAGGAAGAAATATTGGTAGGGAGCTAGGAGTGCCATGATTTGTGGGGAGCAGGGTACCCTTTGGTTGAACTGGATCCAGTCGCCATTTAGAATTAATCCACTATTCCAGTGATTCTCAAACTTTTTTACTGGTGACCCCTTTCACATAGCAAGCCTCTGAGTGCGACCCCCCCCCCACTATCAATTAAAAATGCCTTTTTATATATTTAACACCATTACAAATGCTGGAGGCGAAGTGGACTTTGTGGTGGAGGCTGACAGCTCGCGATCCCCCCCGCATGTAAAAACCTCACGACCCCCTGAGGGGTCCTGACCCCCAGTTTGAGAACCCCTGCACTATTCTTCCAATCCTACCATGCTCCGGCTTACTTCCTGCCAGCCTCTCGGTGTGTAAATTACACAGTCTTAGACTCCTTTACATCCACTTACCATTTTGTAACAGCACTTACACATCACTCCTAACTTTGGAGCATTACTTCAGGAAGCAGCTAATTAGCCAGGAAAGGCTACTCAGTACACCTCAAATTTTGCCCTATTTCTGGTCATATCAATTTGTTTCAGCCACACGCGTGATTGTGTGCACGCTGTTTCGCCTTAAGCCAGAAACTCCAGCAGTTTTGTTTTCACTGGAAGAGACATTTGTGATTTAAATGTAGGGCTGAAGCCTATAAGCGATGCCAGGGCTTGAAATTCCCTTCCCTGAAGCGCGGCGTGGCAGAAGCTACAAAGAGCACGTGAGCAGCAGGGCACACAGTGTGCACAGTTCATAGTGTATTAATTTAGTATAAAAAAAGATTGTGAGCCAGAGTGGCAGACAGGTCATC